TGGGGCCTCCCTAGCTTTGGGAGATTACCTGTGCCCCAGGCCCTCAATAGTTCTAGCATCCCTCCTACCTTGTAACTAGGGTCCTGACTAAGGGCTTCATTTTACCAATGAGTAAAGAGAGAAAAATTAGTCTGATTATTCCCCACAGGCTCCTATGAGTCAGTAATCAATGAAGCATTTATTGCACTATCTCTCCAGCAGATAGTCTGCTGTGCTGCAGACTAATTCCCCTTGAGACCTTCTGTATATCTCCTAGTTTGTAACTTAGCCAAATATTCTCATTATCTTCTGACACCTTTTCCCAGAGGATGCCATTATGCTAAAACAATTTCCATGTAAGTCATGAGTGTGGGGAGGGAAGGGTAGAGCATAAAAGGGAGGTTACATTTGCATTGACTGTTGTGAAGACTTATTTGCTAAACCATTAACCATTTGAAGGATTGCTTGCTCTGCTGAAACACAAACTCATCAGAACTGACATTAAAATTAAGTAGGAGAAAATTTACCAAAGAAATGAGTTCTAACAGTCTGCACCCCTTAAACCACCAATTTCAAACTTTTTCCTGTATATTTCTCTCCATGTATAAAAAGACCTGCACTTCTAGTACCTTTCTCCACTTTCAGAGCAATTATTCATGCAAACAGCACATGCAAACAAAGCAGCTGTATTTCTGCAGAGCTACCTCAACTGCTTCAACACTGTTTTACATGAAGGATGTTTTGCATTCAGTTAATAACCAGAATGCTCTGAGACAGCAGAGTATGTGGGTCTTCAGCTCTGAAATTACTTCAGCTCCAAACCTGCAGACCATGACCCTCCTGGTCAGCACAAAGAAAGTGTTCTGGTGTCTTTGCAGCACTTGCATTTGCTCCAACACCCTTCCCATTGTGCCCATCAGCCCTGCAGAGCTTCACTGAGCACTGTAATTTTTACTATTTTTGTCCTTCCTCTGAGCTTGGAGCTCAGTCTGGGGGAGGAGAGAGATGTGAAGACCCACACTGGGTCTCCTTCACCCTCACAAAAAGGTTAACTCAGATTTCCAAGCAGAGTGCATTGAGATTTTTTTAAGTGTTAGGGCAAGTACTGACCAGGTCCAAACTGACATTACAGATGTATAACATGGATGTCATGTCAAATATATGTCAGATCAGGACACAAAGCTCCTCCCCTTCCCTGCTCACAGACATGCACTCATTTTGGTCTAACTCTTACCCTGGCTGTGTAAGAAGAAATTGTGGGGATCTACCTTTGCCTCTTAATAACTTAAAAAGAGACCAAGATGTTGCCCACATGCTTAAAGTGTGTTTATACTGGGGCTACCTGCAAAATGCTTAAACTATAATGAAAAGTGGGAGGAGAATCACTGTACAAACTCCAGGTTGAAGCTTAAATCACTGCTCTTGATTTTTTGCCTATATTTGTTTGGTTGGGAGATTTTTAAGGGTCTTTAAATACAAGACACTACTTTGCAGTAGAAGAAAATGCATGCTAGGAAACAAGAACCTGGAGATGTGGCTGTAAGAGCCTAGACCTGATCTCTTCTGCATCAATGCAAAGCCTTTCCTTCCACTGGCAGAGGGAGGGCATCTGAGTGTGGACCCTCTGTAACCACTTCTTTATACTATTTAATAGCATGTGATTGCCCAAAGGTTTCATGAGATCCTGGAAAGCACAAATAGAAGTGACTCTCAGTGGCTTTCAGCTTCACTCTGCTGTCATGACAATACTGGAAACAGCACTAATAGATTAACTTAATGGTTGACTGCTACCCCCCTGAAACAGTCACTTTGTACTAATTACATGTCAGGAATGCTCATTGTATGGTCTAATCAAAGCTTACCTTCAAGAAAGGTAAAATATCATAGCACTACTAAAATATGGAAAAATAAATTCCTTTTTGCATGGATACACTACTTCATTTTGCATGGATACCCTATCTCATTTGGTTGTCTAATGCATTTGTTTCTGGCCGTATCCAAAGGGAAAAGGAAGGGAAGTTAAAAAATGTAGGCAATCAATTCATACACTGTGTCTATAGTGGTATTTATTTAATGTTTCAAATGTTATAAAAAAGTAAGGTATTTTTTTTTTAAATAGAAAGAAAAAATAGTACACATGTAAGTACATCCATAAACTGCAAAATATATGTCCAAGTTATATACTGAGGAAATACCCTTAGCTAATGCAAATTTTCAGTAAAAGCAATGATCTGTCCTGAATGAATAACTTGTACTTTAGGATCTCTAGAAATAATCCAGTCATAATAAACTCCTATTCAACCTGTGTCTTGGAAACTTTATGTGGCAGTAACTAACTCTTACTCATCTGTTTTTCCTGCTGATTATGCACTAATTGACTCTTTTTTTACTTTGTGAGAAGAGAACATTTGACTGCTTCAAATACCAAGGTGCAGAGATCCTAGTCAGTCAGGCAGACACAACCTGATTTACTGGGAAGTTAAACCCTCTGTTATTTGCCCTGCTATCACATTGGAAATGGTAGTTACTCATTTCAGCAGTCTTCCACAGCCTATCTGCTTTTGACATGTGTGTTGCATTAGCTTGGACTGGTCTTTTTAAAAGTTAATAATCTAAATCTCACTTCAACAAGACTGACATTAGGGCCTGTGTAATAGTGGGGTTTAATACCTGCTTAGTTTAGTTCCCTTAGAAGTGTTAAGCCAGTATAAGTCTTTCATGCTTTGAATATTTTATTGAAAAATTGCTGCAGCATAGACGAGAAGGGAATTCAAATTGCCCGAGTTTGTGGTCCATGGCTATCACCCCAAGGCCACATCTCCTTTCACATCTTCAGGCTTTAAAGTACAAGGACTTGTGCACACAAACAGTGAGGTTTCGAATGCTGGCAGAGCTAAAGGGTTTAACACAGGTGAAAACAACCCAAAGTCTGCTCTTGTGACAAGCTGGTTACGAAATCTTGAGATACTCCAAGAAATGAATTAAGGGATCACGACATGCTTCCCTAGACATCTGTCCTGGGCATTTATGTGCAGTGTAAATCACTGCAGAATCTCAACACTTAGGAAATATTTCTGGGATAGGGAGCTACAGTCTGCTATTTGTATATAGTGAAGCAGAGAGAAGATAAAAGATTTTCCCAGAGTTTGACAGTGTCTGCATTTTAACTGGATAAGAGAGACAAAAGAATCTGTGCAAATCTCCTACTAGCTACAAAATCGAGCAGAGTTTTTTGCCCTCCTCCACTGAAAACCAGCTATAAAATACTACTGAGTTGCAAAATTTACATTTCATTCCCTTGGATAATTTGGAAGTGAAAGCATCTAAAAATAGATGATTTGGGGATTGCTTGATATGTACATGATTCTCCTTATGCTTGCATTAAAACACTTCCCAAGGTTCAATGAACATTTTGCTTCTTTTCTTAGCTAGCTTGTTAATTTGAGACATTTTACATAACCTGCCCATTTCAGGAAATGCCAGTGAGTAAAGTTTTTGCCTCATTATATCTGCTCCATGTGATGTTTTTTTGAAAACTATGCTAGCAAGGAAATTATATTCTACTGTCCAAGCTGTCTCTCTTTGCTATATCCATCTGATGTTTGGCCTGTGACATCTTGCTGACAGGTTTCTTAAAAGCTTACAAAGCGGTAAGGGAAAGCCTTTAAAATTTATTTGCCTCTGTTAAATATCAGGCCTGGTAGAATACTTTTCAGCTGCAAAGTCACCCTAAAGCCTTGTATCAGTTAAAGACTCCATGAAAAAAACACTCAAAAAGCTTCTTGTTGCTGTTTTAAATCCAAGCTTCAAGTTCAACTTCTTATCCATATCTAGGTTCTCCTCCTGTAACAAATGTTAATCCATCAGTTCAGAGCACCCTTTCTTCTGGCTCAAAAAGGTAATTTAGTAGCTTGTATTAATCTTCCACCTGCTTCATTCCCTGAAATACATGAAAACCGAGCCCTTTACAGTATGTATTCTGCAACTTTTGTGCCTAGATATTTTGCCAGGCTTTTTATGGACAGTGAGAATGATCTCTCTCTCAGATGGCTGCTATGACAGTTTAATTACCTATTTTCAGTTAATAGCAGCAGCATTCAACAATTGCAACAATTCTTCACATGTGCCTATCTACCAGGAGGAAAAACATAATGTTATCCTCACTCTTCTACATATTTTTCAGATTTATATATTCTCTGTTAAAGAGAATATATGGTGTACAAATAATTAAAATAAAAATATTTTGCATATTAAAAAAGCTTTACAAATAAAAAAAAAGAAAAATAGATGTGGTGACTCCCCCTCCCTGTCTCAATCACCCCATCCTGATAAAGGATGATAAAGCCTGTAGTATTTTTTATTTCTCACAAGTCCAACAGATTTAGTACCATTTCTTCTGCTTACTTTTGGCACAAACTCTAAACTCTTGTGAATTCTACTGCAAAACTACATTTAATTTGATTCCATTTCCCACAGAAGCTGGGAGCTGTTCCTCCCCAGAAGCAGACTTTGCATTTCTCCTTGCTAAGCTTCATGAAGTTCCTGTCAGCTTACTTCCCTGTGGCCTTGTTTAACCCAGCCATAATGGGAATGTCCCAAGGGACCACACCAGCACAAGTACCATGTCACCAGACAGGGTGGCTTTTTCAACTCTTCATTTATTTTATTTCCTTCTCAACATCTGCTCCAAGTATTCATCTCAGTATGACTCAGTGGAATTGAGAATTGAGGAATTCTTTTTTAAGCCTGAAGGAGGCCACAGTTCCTTTTCTTTCCACGGTGGGGGAATACAGAAAGCATCCATTTTCCACCCTGTGTTCTCAGTACCCAAATTGAATTTATCGGAACATGCAAATATTTCAACAAGTTTTCAAAACACTTCACTTGTATGGTTTATAGCCATATGACATACACATTGAGCAGCTTTCTACATAAACTTGTTCCCTAAAATCAGCCTGAGGTCTGTTTTCCATTCACAGGCACAGAAAGTGGCACTGGATTTGTAAGAAGAGGGCACTTACTCAGTAATGTGTGTATCAATGCTGCGAAAAAGTTCATGCGGTTCTTCTCCACTCAGAACTCTGTCAGCAAAGTAGGCTTTGATTTCATCAAAAGACAGTCTCCCATCATCTGAAACAATGAAGAAATTGAAATTCAAAAGTCAAATAAAGATTCACCTTTTCCTGTTATTATAAGAAACTTTAAAGATTAAACTCTAGTTAAGTAATAATTTATCTAAATTGATTGAGTCCTTTCATGATGCATAAAGAATATTTTTATAGCCTAACACTTCATAACTCTATTTTATGTTGCACGAAATTTTTAGTTCACATGTTTCTTTCCCTTCCTTCAGTAACATACTAAATCCCTCAGAGGGCACTAAAAAATTGTAGAGGATAAGACTAAGATATCCTAAGCATCAGACTAATCTACAATGTATTGTGACTTAATTTTATAGTGATGAGGAATGTATTATAAAAGCAATATCTAAATATTGTAACTGCATGCAGTACTACTGCAGACAGATTTGAAGAGCAGAGCTGAGAAGTTTCCTTCTTCTTTAACTTGCTATTATTTAATAATTTTTTTGACTGGGACATATGGCTTCAGATATCTTGAAGATGTTTCAAAATTGTACAAATTAATCATCTGCTTTAACATAACCATTTTGAAATGTTTAAAATGAAAAGACAGACTGTAGCTGGAGATGATCATCATAGCAATCAAAATAAAATGTCAAGATCTTCAAGAGCCAGAAACCAAGATGACACAAAACTGCAATGATTACCTAGCTGAGAATCTAAATACTTTTGCCACTTGGCTCTGGTTACAGAGAAGGAATATCAAATATTGAGTGTGTTGCACTGAGTGTTCTCACAGCTATGCTCCCTTTGGCTCTTACAGATACAGTCAATTGCTTAATCAAACCACCTCTGCAGCTTTATCCTTAGCTGGCAAGGCTGATTTGCATGCAACTTACACACATACTCAAGAAACTAGTGCCTTTTGGCAACCTTCCTGAGACAAACATATGAGTTTACCCATAGAACAGCCTGGGGTATGACACAAAATATTAAACAAGTCTGTGGTCCTTCAGGATCATTGGCTTTATCTCAATCCAGAAAATCACTGATCCACCAACAAATTAGTTACCTAATTAAATAGCTAAAATTTTAGCTATTTTCTTTAAATTTTTGTCATCCAAGAGCAGACACTGTCTTTTGGTTCATTTCTGTTTATTCTTAATAACATTATGAATGTCATTGATATTGAGTGACAAATCACTGAGATTGTTTCTGGCAAAACACAAGGGCTTTTGAATCTGTTTGATACTTACAGATTTCATACAGTTACTTTTACTAAAAAAAGGCTCTAATTATCCAGAGCATTTCTCTGATTTTGTACGAGAGCAACTGCTTTGCCAGGGCAGCTGGGGAGGGCTCCACTATTGGTGGCCATCCTTGTGCTTCCTCAGTGCCCAGATGAAGCTCAGACCCAATGCTAAACAAGTTCTCCCTGTGCTGTTAAACTGAAAACGCATTTGCCTAGACAGGTGATCTGTGGTTTTGTTTCATTTTGTTTTGTTTGGGTTTTTTGTTTTGTTTTTATTTTATTTTTAATTTTTTTTAAAAAAAAAATTATTCCCCCAAATGTCAAGAATAGCTTTTATTTGAAAGGTTGTGTCATGTGTCCTCAGCACCACTGCCCTGGGTACTCCTCACTGCCCTTGGAGTGCCCAGATAAACACTATCTTGTTTAAGTGCTACAGAGGAGCTGAGCAGAAACCCCTATTAGAGATCCTTCAATCCTTGCCACTGGCAAAGTGACAGGAGAAGAATGAGTAATAAAAGGCAAACTTCTCTGAAGCTATGCATCCATCAGGGAAATCAACCTTCAGCTGTATTTGCCTTGGCAATGTTTAAGAAGTTGTTTTGCCAGACTTGCTTGCTTTTGTCTGTCTTCTCTGGCATCTTTCAAAAGAAGGGCTTCTTCATAAACAGGCAGAGTTGCCTGTTCTCCTTCGTCTCCCAGCTGGCAGACAAATAAATAAAATGAAAATATAAACAATAAAATTAATCTCCCCACGTTGCACTTGCAAATTTAGAAATAGATTCACACAGTGGTTTACAGGAGCCTTCTTTCAGGTTACAATTGCATTCTCACATTTATTCCAGTAGAATTCCCCTGTCTATTGAACAGATGTTTTTTCTGTGTAAAATATGCCCAAGGGATATCCCCCAGCCAGTCTGCTACAGAAACACTAGTATAATCTCCAGGATGTGCTTTGGATAGCTGATGACTTCAGCAGAGAACAGCATTTCTGGCAGAGGAAAGTTGCACACACTCTCTGAGCTGAAAAGTGGTTTCAGCAAGTCAAAAAGCATCAAGTGAATAATGGACAAGGGCATGGACATATTTGGAGCTTTTGTGCACAAAGACAATGGCAAATGGTGAGACTACAGCCACTGAAGGAAGTTACAGTGATGTAGAGAAGAAGGATGTCTCACAGATGATGCCAGCAAATGCTAGAGGAGCTAAAAGAAGCTAAACCACTTCCACTATCCCCTGTTTTGGGCATCCTGTTAGGATTGTGAGCCTTTCTTAGCAGTTTAAAAACCAGTCTTTTCATAGCAGGGACCACATCAGGTGGAACTCCTATGGCTAAATGGCATCCCTAGGGCTTATGGCACTTGGAAAAGCCACCTGTAAGAGTTTTTGGAAATCAGAGGGGAAAACCACACTTGGATAAAGCTCATCCTGGGGTTCACCTCAGAAGGATGTGATTTGGAAAGTTGAGCCCTCAGCACTGTCTTGGCCCAATCAGACAGTGTCTAACATGCCCACCACCAGGGCAGTGAGGTTTAGGGTCTGGGGCTCTGTGAGCACAGATCTCTACCCTTGTAGGCCAACAATTAGCAGAGGAAGAAAAGATAACAAGTGAAACCAAAAAATAGAATTCCCTGTGGCAGAAAGTCTTTATTCACCAGGAAGGTACAACAGGGACTAAGAAATGACAGTGCTCAAACTGAAGCTGTCACTTCTGCTGTGGGAAAGCCAAGGGCCAAAACACAGCCCCCTCTTACAATTCTTAAAGGGAATTCAGTTTCTAAATCTCTTGTGGGTATTGTGACAGCCCTTTATGGATTTTTGAATCCATCTGCCTTTATAGAACCTAAAGGGAAGTCAGTACAAACATGGGTCTTCCTCCCAGCTCACCTTCTCCTGGGGACCTGCTGTGGGATTTGTCCTTTGGAAGGAACTGTCAGTCCCCACTTGCTGTAAAAGGTTTGGATCAGACTACTTGAGTGCTGTAAGATATTGCCCCATACACAGAGAAAACAAGGTAGTGTGGGTGGGACACATCACAACAGACATAGATAGACTGAACTAGATGCAAAAAGATGAAACAGCATTCTTTGCTTTGGTATAACTCAGATTTTTTTCTTGGAAACAAGTTTAAGTCACTAAGTGGCAATTTTGAGAGCCTGCAGGCCAACTCTGACAGTTCACTTTAGGGAAGACTCAAGAGGTCCCTTTCCCAAAGTGCTTTCTCTGCCTCTCAGAGGCATATTCCCTTAATCCTCTGGCACAATATAAACTAGCACTCTGGTAAACAAGCTAGAGCCACTGAGAAGTCACAGTCTGAGGACTGCTTCAGTGAGGAAGCTTTCAACCTGCCAGAGCTCACCTACAGACACATGAGCCCATATGGATGGTAGAACTCACCTGAAAAGTCAGTGTTTATTCTGCAGTGGCACTGTCAATAAATAATGAATAGGAAAACACCCATTCTGATCTCTGCAAAACTGACTCTGGAATAGGCATTGCAAGATTTCCTCCTGATGATCATCCAGATGCAGTTCAGGAGGAGTTTTGGTTATCTTCTGTAAATCTTGTTGGGTCACTCAAAAGCCTGTAATGTGAGAATCAATCACTTTGGTCACTGACACCAGTGAAAGGGACAGGGTGCTAGTGCTGCACTTACACTTATTTTAAAGAATCCTTTATTTATGACCCACAGTTTTTGTTTGGCATGGTTTTACACAGTTTGTTTGCCTGATTTTAGAGCTGGGCTGAAATCCCCAGATTATTTTAATCAACATACTGCATGTATTATCACAACATTTTATATAGTTTCAGAATTCTACATTTAAAAGCCTGGTGTCCCTGCTCTGTATCATGGACATCAGGGGTACTGAATGAAGGTATATGTCAGAATGCAAAGATTAGTCTCATCTGACTACTTTTCATTTTACAGTTCCGAGTTCAAATACAGCATAAAAAGATATATGTTTTTAGGAGGGAAAAAATCTTTCAGTGAGTGCTTGTTTGAAATGTCAGAGGAAAAAAAAAAATAAACCAGACATAAATGCAGTGATTCTGACATTAATAAGATTCTGTAGCAAGTCTGCTGGTTGTTTGATATTCAGGTTTGTCAATCTATGGAGCTTTAGTCTTTTGTTTAGTCAGTTTTAAAATTTTTTCCTCATTTGTTTGCAGTCATTCCTGACTGCCTGAAGCATACTGTTTATAGTATTCCTTATGGTTCAGGCTTTTTGGGTTTTTACAAAAATATCTGCTTCTGTAGCAGATACTAACAATGATGTTTTCATTGGTAACTTAGCCAATCTTCCTCTTAGGAGCTTTAACAATGTTTGAGGTATAGGTTTTACTTGGTGCTTTTTCATAACAGCTGACTTGTACTAGCAAATCTATAGATGAAAGCATCTATATACAAACCATCTTTTCCTAACCTGTCATATTAGAGTTGCCCTCCTTAGGGCTTAGAGGTATCCAAGAGCCCGGGGGCAGGAGCTGTTAAATTTGGAACGAGGCCATAATCCAATACCACTTCAAATATTGTGGAGGACAGAGACAGCTGGGAGGTCCTCCTCCTGGGGGACAGGGCTGGGAGTCACTCCCTCCAGGTTTGACTGGGTGGACACTGAAAAGTACCAAGGGGAGTCTCAAACGCCAGAGCATGCCATGTTTCCAGTGCAGGAGAGGAGATCCAGAGCTGGAGATTACAGACAGACTCTGGTAAAAGACAAAGGCAGTAGTCCTCTTTCCCAGGGGGACAGGAAGAGAAATGACCCCTACCACAATGCCAGCAAAGGCAGGGCACTTTTCTCTAGTTATTTTGTGGTGCACCTTGGCTTTGCTCTGTGTTGAACCATCAGTGTTGAGGCACCTTCCCCATGCTGAAGGAAGACTGCTACAAGATCAAGGGCTCTATTCTCAGTAGATTATTACCCTTTTTTTTTTCCTTTTTTTTCCCATCTATTTTGAAGTCAGGCTGCTTGTGATTTGATTTCTGCAGTGTAGTCTGTATTTGAAATTCCATTCCCGTGCTAAGAGAATTCTGGTAGGAGGCAATTCTAATTGGGCACATGTCAGAGCTGCATGGTCAGGAGAGGCCCCTGGGTGACATCCACCACCAACTGATATCATTTCACTCGACTGCAGGTCACTGCAAGGCTAATGGGTGCCCCATTTTATCAGGAGATAAAAGATACCTCATGCAAACAAACACACACAGGTGCTGCATTCACACCTATGTGAGGCAACCACTGTTGCCTGTGAGATGGGGGAAGTAAAAATTTGGTTTTGGTTAGGAAAGACTGCATTTAGCAGTTCCAGTTTATCATTTTTCTTTGCTCCCTCCGTTGCAGGCTTGGGACAAAATTTTACTTTTTGAGAGGAATTTAATGAATTTGATTTTGTTTTAAGCAGCAAAAGAAATTAAACAAATTAATTCCTTTTAGCTGGATTTTTTTTTCAGATTAGTTCTGTGTGAAACCCACATGCTTTCCTTTGAGCACATGTTGTTCTATAAAGTAAACCTGACCAAAATTTCATTTTGACATACAGACCTGAAACTTCTCCTTTCCAAAAAGGTCAATATGCAGCATCTCACCTTTGTGAAATTGATTGTTTTCCCTTCAGGATTTTCTGTTGCTTTTCTCAACATTATGAACTATATAGTTCTTAAAAATCCTTCTCTATGCCTTGTTCTCCCATTAAAAAAATCACATGACCTCTTTATTTATGGGAGATATATGGATTGGCTCCACAAAAAGCAGAGCTGCACAGCCTTGAAGTAAGAATTACAGACAGAGTTTATGAAGCTGGTCCTCTCAAGGAATCTCTGCATGGCTGATATTTCCAGAAACAGGACAGTAACAGAATGATATATGTACCTGGGCTGGCAAAGAAAGAAGTCATTTGTATGACTTCATTCACATGCTAAAGGACCTTCTTAACTGAACACAGACACCATAAATTACTGTAACATTTTTGAATACCAGCAGTTCAGTAGAATTTCTTGGCTCTTTAGATCTCTCATTTTATACTGCCTTTGCAAAAAGATTTGTCTTTCCTTGCTGTGGAAAGCTTACCTGAAGTCCCATAGCCCACGAATTCATTGTAAAAATGCTTATACAATACTCCTATTTATCACCTCAATCCACTTTTTTGATGTTTTTTTCCTTGTTGTCTAGCAAGAATCTAGTAAAGTTTTGGACAATGTTTTCTGTGAAGGTATTTTAATCTCACAAATGGAATTAATACAGCAGAGAAGGTTCTATTAAAAGTATATGTGAGAATTTAACAGGGCTGTGTCATGGACAGTAATGTAGTATTTGTTACTGAAAGGCAATAGCAATATTTCCTGTAGCACAGAAAGATGACTCTGAAAGTGTAAGTAGACCTGTCATTAACAAAAGCTAATAATTTATGGTGACAACAGTGTAAACATTTTCAGTAAGTGGTCACATATCCAATAACCTTTCTGAAAATGTTCTTAACTTTACAGCCTTGAAACAAATCTCCCTATCAATGTGGCACAAGCCTGTGCATTGCTAGATTAGCAAAGTGGAAGTCCCATGGGCAATTGATGGTTGAGCAAACACAATTAAGGCCTAAAAGCTGAAATAATTTCCAGTTCATGGACTTAAATTAATAGAACTGAAGTGACTGAACTTAGCCACTTTTCTCTGTCAATAATATGTCGTAAAGAATCCATATACAGGTAGGAATACCAGTGACCAAAGTCTCTGGGGCTGATATGGTTTTGTATTGTTCTGGAACATGCAGATTTGTCCCTGATACTGAGAGCTGTTCCCACTGTTTTCATAGCAATGTATGGCAATGAGTTGTGAGGAAACCCAGGTGAGAACTGAAGTGTTCCTAACCACTGCAGTGCAGCAGATCCAGCAGGGCTGGGACAGCATGAGCACAAAGTCCTGGGCAGGGACACAAAGCTCTAGGGTCTCTTTTCGACTCCAGGGGGGTGATGAGTTCTGCTCAGTGCCATGTGCTCTGACCCTCATCAATCTTCAGGGCAGATACACACACATTATTCCAAACACCACAAGGAGGTCTGAGAGGGATGCAACAGAGCTTTGCTGTGGTTAGCTGGTAACTAAGCTAGAGATACACCACTGAAGGTGCACAAACCTCCCCATGCCAGCCCTCACCTTGGAATTCACCTTGCACCATCACTGCCCATGCAAACCACTGGCAAGCTGACTGAGGGAGATAACAAAGATAACAAACACCACCAAAAAACTCTTCACAGTGATGGATTCTGTGACTCCTGAGCTCTCTAAAGGAGCCTACCATGGTCTTGTGGGAAGTGTCAGCTGCTGCACATGAGCTGGGGCAGGAATAGCAAGCAGGTGAGATTGATATGGAGGTGAGATTTCTCTCTCAGCAACAGTAAACTGTTATTCAACATGTCCAGTTATACCACCAAGCTGTACAGTAGCCACTTTCTGTCCAAGAGTTCTTCCTTTTAAGTTATTATCACTGATTTTCTCAGTGGTATTCATTTGCCTTCTCTTTATTGAATTCACACAGTATCTGCTTTCTGAGGATTGACTGGACTGGGGATTACTTGTCAGAGTTAAACCTGTCTGATCTGTGGGTTTGACACTGTTCAATACTTCTCTTGTTAATAAAAAACTTATGACTTCTGTGCTATAATATATGAGCTGGATCCAAGGGTTTATTCTTCCTACTGACACACCGAACAAATACAAAACTAAGTCTGATTTCTGGATGTAATCTACTGTGTCTTTAAGAAGTAGTGAGATGGAGCTACTAAGAAGTATTTCAAGTCGAGTCAGTATCACTAGAAAACACCCGCGTGCGCCCAAAGTGCAAATCAAACACAAATGTCAAATTGTGAAAGCAAAAGATCTGTCCTTAAAGAAGAGTTCAGAGCACAACATAATACATGGCACTGAATCTGCAGGAAACATAAAATGACATGAGGGTTGTCTGGTTTTTCTGTTAGGATGTTTAAAACATGACTTAAAATGCTGAATTAATGATGGATTCTTTTTCCCAAAGGAAGGGAGCAAGACATGTGAGCAATCTTACCATTCTTGTCTGCTCTTCTTAATATCTAAACAAAAAGAGAGACAGAAAGAACACAGTCAATTTCTTCTTTTGTATGGGTTAATAACAAACAATGCTTTTCTTAGTACACATTTACAGTTTGGGCTCTACATCATATTTTCACAAAACTGCATAAAACTTTAAAGTTCTTACTGTGTCTGCATCCTTCCCTCGGAGTATTGCTCTTTTTTAACTCCTCCCTTGTTGTGTGCAATAAAAACCAAGACTGTAACAGGAACCAGCTTTATTTTCTAGTTGTTTATGGATTACAGGGATGATGCTCAGGCACAAAACCTAACACTGTATGGCTACCATGATACTGGATTCAGGTTTGAGATGGGTGGCTTAAAGAAGCAGAGCAGGAATGATGGCTGGGAGGATGTGCTGAGCATCTGAGCTGGTGAGAAAGACTCGTGGTTTGTGTGGGTGCAGGAAGCAAAGGGATAAGTCAGGGGAGGAGCTGCATGGCACAAAGGATCAGACTCAGTGTCACAGGCTACTTCAGCCTGAACTGCAAGGGGGAGTCATCTAGGAAATGCTGCAGCGAGGGCTGGCAAGGGAAGAAAGCAAATCTTCCAAATGTGGTTTCTGCTGCTGCTGTGAATATCAGTGAAGTGTTTCAAAATGGGCACATATATTTGTGAGAGCTGACAGCAGTGGAAACACTCTCTGGTTTATTAAAATGTTAGTAGCATTTAAACAGCTTCTCCAGCATGTGCCATGACTGCTCTGCTCCTACAAGTGAAACCAGACAAGATGGATCCAAGTGCCAAGCTCTGCTGGAGCACCTTCGTGACTGTTTTGTGTAGGGTGGGGTTGGCAGAGAACCAACAGAGTTGTGACCCACATCCAGGACTTCCCAGGTGGTTTCTAAGCTGAACTTTGCATTGGCCCAGATTTACAGCACATAAAATATGAAATAGACTTATTGAGATGACATTTTCCCTCCTATTTATCCAAATAAATCATACACTCAGTTTTCAGTTTTCAGTATAAGGATTGGACTTTTGAAGGGATGTAGCACTGGAGTTTCAATAAAATAGAAATGTCTCATGACCATGGGTCAAGTGGCAAAAGTTCCTGCATAAGTAATTTTAAAAATTGATGTAAAATAAAATATTTCATGTATTTATTATTTTTATAAATATTTAAATTTTATATTAATTTGTTTTAATTAATTAACCCCCCTGCCCCCAACCTTAAAGAAATATTAAAATTCTTTAGACACTTGAGAGGGGTTTGGTAGAAGACCAGGGAGGAGGTGGCTTTAGCAATCATATGTCACTCTCATTAGGTCTCTTTCTCAGGAGAGAGATTATTTATAAGAGCATTTAGTGACAGGACAATGGGGAATGGCTTCAAAATGAAAAGGAATAGGTTTAGATTAGATGTTAGGAGAAAAATCTTTACTGTATGGGTGCTGAGGCACTGGTACAGGTGGCCCAGGGAGGTTGTGGACGGCAGTGCTCGAGGCCAGGTTGGATGAAGCTCTGAGCACCCTGGTCTAGTGGAAGGTGTCCCTGCCAGTGGCAGTGGGTTTAGAACTGGATGGTTTTTAAGGTCCTTTCCAACCATTCCATGCCATTTTATGATTCTATAATCCTGTTCCCCATTTGGATCAGGACCTCAATGCCTTCTCTTTCTGTGCAGCCTTACAACAACCCTCTTGCTGCCTGCTCTAATTTAAATGTGTTTATATAGTTGGGGGTACTTCACTGGGGAGTAATCATACACCTACACACCCTCAAATATCTAAAATATCTTTAACATGAATGTACTCTCACAGCAGGAAGGGCCCTCAGGGTCCAGTCCCTGCTTTGAAGCAGGCATGGTTTGGATTTAAGGTTTTCCTCCAGATATAAAAGAATCACTGAAACAGCCTCCCTCCTCTTCACAGGTTTGTGAAGGGTATCTGCTTTCCTATAAATATGAACCTGATGCTGGTTTAAGAAAATGCTGAAAATTAAACAAATAATTTTATTTTGAATTATCTTTTCTACTTTAGTGAAATCAAAAGTTTTCAGTTTATCAGACAATCTGACCATGTGCAGTTTCCTAACCCAGTGTCCTGAGTTAAACTGGAGAGTTGGTTCCATTTAATGTTTTTTAACTCTTTCCCAGCAACTTAGATTTTTCTTCTGTTTTTGTGATGTATGACTGTAATTCTCCCATTTCTTTTACAAGTGGTATCTCTGAGACAAAAAAAAAAATCTAAAAAAATCTGTATTTTCAATATACACTTGAATTGAAATAATAGAAGTCAACAAAAAGTCTAATTTAAATGATTTCCTGTGGAGGCTAGGGAAATCAGGAGATGAGCAGATGAGAGTTGCTGGAAATGTGGGGAAATGTTGGGGAAGTTGAAGTGGGCATATTAGAGAAAACATTTAGATAAAGATTCCTTTAATACAGGACATGCCACTTTCAGCTGATATTGTGAAATAACATCAGTACAAGAGCTGGATCAGAGTAGGTCTCAAGATTTGTAGGTCTCACCAAGGTCAGGGGCTGCTTTGAAGAGCTTTGTGTGGGAGTTTGCCTTTTGCAAGGATTTACCTTGGAACAAAGAAATGCTCTGCGTAGTGCAAATTTAGACAAAAAAACTTTACAGCTGCACCTTGCAAGATGCTGAGCCCTGGTGACACTCTAGCACAGCATCTCTCAGGGACTGCATGGCCAGATGCACATCAGGGCACCTCCCTGGGCTCATCCTCAAAGGACTGAGGGGTTCAAGATTCTCACTGACTTTGAGCACCTCAAATTCATCATGGTCTAAAGGGATGAGAAAAACCTGCATGGTTAGTGAAAAAAACCCACTTTTATAGGGTGAGAAACTAGCAAAAAGTGCCCTTCTCTCCCTGTCCCAATAAAAACAATAATGCTTGAAGCAATTTATTTGGAAAGGTGACTGTTTTCACCCAGAACCTCTCCCAGCCACCCCCAAACACTGACTTGCTCTCCTCACACATGCAGTCATTAAAGCAAAAGAGGAAGAGGAAAGGGGGAAAGATAAGGGGAAGGAGAAGAGGAAAGAGAAAGAGAAAGGGAAAGGGGAAGATCCACAGTCTCTCTGGGCTTCACCCCCTTTCACCGAGGGAGGAGGTAACAGCTCAATGAAAAAAAAAAAAATTAAAATAAAAGCGGGGAGGGAGGGAAGTACGGAGAGAAAAAAGGACAAGAGAACAAGGCAGAACACGACAAGCCGCTCTCAGCCGCCCTGTGCAGAAGGATGGGTTCCGCTCCGGGAATGTGTCGCGTACTCACATGGCGGAAGATGCGCAGCCCCGCTCCTCGCTCCGCCGCCATCCG